GGAAGAGAAATTGTTTAGTTCTTTACTTGAATTTTTTCTTTTTAAGGACTTATGATTTCACCAAAGCCAGACACTGCATTGGAATTTTACTTTAACAAGAGTGATGCCCAGTCATATGCAGAATATGTTTCTACACTTAGAAAATTCCTTGAATGTAAGTAAGTTACAACTGCCCAAGTAATTCAAGAGTCTTAATGTTGAGTACATTAGTTTCCTTTTCTACTTGTAGTTACCAATTCCTAATGAAGACTGATGCAAGTTCAGGCTTACTCTAGACATGTGTTATTAAAGTATATACTTTACAGAAAAGGTAAGTATCAGTACTTATCAATACTGGACAGACAGCCTGAGCATGAGGAATAGTGGGGTACATAATGGAGAGTCTTGGGTCCTAGTCCAGTGTTTTGGTGACATGGTTGTTTAAGTACTTTAAGATATAGAAATTACATTGGCCAAAAGAATTCAGTGTAAAATTACATTGGTTGTGTATTTGGAGGCAAAGTTTACCAAGACTTAACTGTTCAGTCTTCATCTAAATGGCTTGGTAATGGAGTGAGAATCCTTCAGTCTTAAGAATTTGAGTGTTTGCCTGTTTAAAAAATGAGGCACACAATGATTAACTTAATTGCAATTTATTAGTTTTCACCCTGATGCACAGTGTTTATGGGCAGAAATATTAAAACACTGAATTTAGAAGAGAAAAGGTAACACAGGACAAGACTGAAGGATGGCAAAATCGCTAGTTTAAGTTATACATGATTATGTGTACATACTGGCACATATATCAATTATAGTAATACAGAAATCAATTAAAAATGTTAGTAAGTTTAACCCCTCAGAAGTTGTAAGTCAGAATTGAGGAGGTGCTGTAAAATCTCACCTGTGTGTATGAGTTGCTTTGTTGGCTACACAATCTATACTTAAATCTACCTGGATTTGTAGTTTTGGTGCCTACTAAAAGCTTCGATGAGTAGGCTTTTCTTTCAGAGCTCTGCCAAGGGTTCCTGGGAGGAATGATATATTTCATGACTACCTGCCTCTCCTGCTGTTCACTGGGTTTTGGACTCTTGCATTGAGGATGAACTTTCCCTTTTTCCATTTTACTTTGTTTATGCTTAGCTGGGGGTGGGGTGTAAGGGCAGGGAACAAACCCACAAAATGTGTTAAGCATGAATAGATGCATGTTTGTGACAATGTGATCTGTGTACTTGTGAAACACAAGAAAGTGAGAAACAACTTGGGATGTTATACTAACATCAGTTATACTACTTGATGTAAATGTAGAGGCAATTTAATATTAGTTATTGAAGTATTTGAAGTTTTCCTGTGTGTTTATAAAAGAAATATGTGCAAAGGGAAAACTGGTTTAGTTTCCAGGTAGAAACTTGGTTGTTTATATTTTAATACATTATTAGTTTAGAAAACATAATTAGTTTAGAATTAGTTTCTGTACAGAAATTAATGAAATTGTGATTATTGATATGATTCGAAAAGCAGGACAGCATTATTTCTTTTGTAATTCTCTTATTTTACTCTTTCATTCAAGTGTAGTGCCACTTCTTCAAAGGCTTTGAAAAAGCATTTAGTAAGGTGGATACAGGAGACATAGTGCTCTGAAAATAGTCCTTTAATTAAACTCCTACACAAGTAACAACTATAAATTAGATGATTATATAGACTTCTGCAGTTTTTCGCTACTTGTATGCTTTATACCATTGATTTACAAGCTATTTCTGTTTCATAGCATATGATGATTCAAAGCAATCCCAAAACATAAACTGTACACCAGGAAGGATTTTTGATCAGAATGATGTTGCTGTTAAAAAGGCATGTCGATTTAACCTCTCTGAGCTTGGACAATGCTCTGGAAAGGAAGATAAGACCTTTGGCTATTCTAAAGGAACTCCCTGCGTGCTTGTGAAAATGAACAGAGTAAGTGCCTACTTATTTTTTAATTCTTAGTATAAGTGCTCCCAACTACCACTGTATGAAAAATGACTGTAGAAAAGGACTGAAAATATGTGTTCAGTTTGCTTCTCAAGATATTTGCATTTCTGGAATAGTGTAATGTTCAGCAATTCATGTGTTTCAGAGAGTAAAATGAAGTGAGCTTTTTGAGCATTCTAATACTTACAGGTATTGGCTTTGATTACTTGCATCAAAATATCTGAAAACCCTGTTTTAAGGAGCACAGTGCTCTGGTTTTACTTACTGTTCTCTGTAACAGATTCTAAACCACTGCACAGGTAAAGTGTGTTTTACTTCATGTCTGCATTCTAGAAATGTAATTAAAATGTTACGCATTCTGTAACTCCTAGACTATGTAAGGTGATGAAAACTGAGTGAATATGTATTTGCCTTTTCAGTGATGTTGTACATTACTTGAACTACTAACTGGTTTGAGCCATTAATGTTACATGCTTAATGTAAAATAAGAAAATAGCTCTTTCTGGGGCCGCTGTAACTATTTGAGCTTTAACTTTACAATGCTTTAAATCTTAGTCCTAGTCTAAAATTGTGCTTCATGTAAAAATGACACTAGATAGATTTGCTCCCTGTATGAACTCTGTCATATTAAGTGGGGGAAAAGTTCAAATTCTGTCTGTAAAACAGGAAAGGGGATGAAAGTCTATAAATATTTTTAACTTTCTTTCCTTCAGATAATTGGATTAAAGCCTGAAGGAGAACCACGTATATACTGTACATCTAAGGTCAGTTCTGAATGTAAGAAATAAGCGTGTAGTTAATTTTTCTTGTGATCAGGATGAAAAGTGATGTAATACGCTGTGTCAGAGCATTTATTTTACTCTCTTACTTTCTTGTTAGTCTTTATGATTTTTTTTTCTTGTTTTCATCTTACTGTATGTCTAGTTTACTTTTGGTGTCTTTAATTTCTTCAGTGTACTTATAAAAATGCTTTTTTGTTGTTCTTTCATCTTTAGATTTGTTTGAGCTACCTGACTTGCTTTAGAGTTGAGGAAAATGCACACATGTTATTTGTGGTCATATTTATTTATTTATTTATTATTAGTTGTGTTTTGTTTTCCCATTTCATAACCTATATTTTTGTTTTTTCTTCATGCTGCAAGTGCACCTTAGACAATTTTATAAATGATGGGTAAGACACAGTGTGGAAACCAATGTTACTGTTTAAGTAAAAGTTGCCTTCAAATGAAGTATAAACTACTTATAATAATGGCTAATCTATGCGTATTTGTTGTGTACCAATGGATTTACACTGAATGTTTTACGGAAACTGTAATAATTACTTTGACTTCTGCATGATTTTCCTAGACCGCTTGGGGAGCAGCGAAGGCCTTGGTTAGTTAGTAGCTTGAGCAAGGGGGACTCATAGCTTTTTAGCTTGAGGTGACTGATAAAAATGTAGGTTGGGAAATTTCAGCAATTAATGACACAAATACTGTGAGTATTCCTGCCTTCACCCTAGGTATCTATGGCAGGCATAAATTTTAATACTTGATTTTTGTAGCGTCTTTGAACATTTTGATCTCCCTATGGTGGTCTGTTGCAAGTAAAGCTGACTCCTCCTCTTGTTTGAGACTGGTTTCTTTGTGTCCATTCCTAAAAAATGTTGTTCTGTTGGACCATTTATTTGTTTCTTTAGAATAATGCAATTAAGTTCCTTCTACTTTTAGTAGTACTCTTTCTTCTGTGACTTCTCTAGTTCATTATTTTTTGTAACATGGTATCCCAAACTGGACAGACATTTACCTCTAGCCGAAGTATTGTTAATGACAGAATTTTTCCCTTTGTCATCACATGCGAAGTAATAATGCCTCTTGAGGTGATTTTGCCATTTGTAATACATTGAGTCTTTATTTTAATGATTTTACTATTTAGATCTTTCTTTTGTTTATTTCCCAGTCTGTATTTGTAGATGTGATTTCTTGAAGTTCAGAGCTTTGAATTTCATGTTGCTATTTTTTGGTCCCCCTCTGTAATTTTTCATGATCATTTTAATGGGATTGAGGTCTCTGAAGTGTCTTGAACTACTTACGGCTTGGTGCCATCAGTGACTGAACTTTCTTTTACATCCCTCAAGGCCTTACTGAAAACACTGAATAGGGTCATCTTCATTTCTGCCTGAAGTGCCTTGTGATGTGTTGCGAACTAATGTTCAAGTGATATATAAAATATTGATGGTAATCCTATTTTACGATGGTTGTATTTCTTCAGCTTTCTTACGTGGAGGCTCTACGAGGTGGGGGTAAAAGCTATACTAAGCAAATCCAAGATGATGCTTTTTCTTACCCTCTTAGCTAATTTCACTAGCAAAAGAATAAGTTTGATAACAACTTGGTTGATCATGGTGGGGGATTTGTTTTATTTTGTTTTGTTTTTTTTTTACTGTTTGAGATTTATAAATAAATGTGTTGTATGTTATGTATTTTCTTGCATTCTCTTTCTTTAAGTATGAAGTACTGCTTTTCACCATATCCAGTTAGAATTTCTCTGATCTACACAAATATGGTGTTTTTAAATTTTAAGATTGTTAATCTTATTAGTTCTTCAGTGACTTCCAGGGAAAACATTTGTCAGATTTTACCACTTCAAATGCATCTATTTTATCTTTAATAGCCTGTTCTCGCCCTAACTCATCATGATTTGCCTGCTTAGGAAAGCTTAAGTATTGGGTACAAGTCATCCTTCTCTGTAGACAACAAAGAAGCACCATCAACAACTTTCATTTTCTCCTTTTGTCTGTGCTTCATTTTTAAAGAACTTCTTTCTGCATTGCATCTGCCAGTGTACTTGAATGTTCCCTAGATACTGTCTCATAACCAAAATTGAAGCGTAGTGGTCATTGTACTACTTTATTGCCTCTCTTATTCAGGGTGTTTACCTAGTGTTTAAGTAACTGATATGTTCTGTTGAGGTGTTTTGGGGTGGGTTTTTTTTTTTTCCTTTTGTGATGCTGTCAGCGAATGTGGTTTAAAAGAATTCAGGGTGTACTACAAAGTTTAATCCAGGTGACATACATTTCTGAAAATAAACCTGGCACTGGATATTGTCTTCGAGAATATATAAGCCTGTTTGTGCAGTTCATAGCACAAAGGCAACTTACTAGCAATTTTCAGTTTTACATCAGAAATCTTTAACATCTGACTGACAAAGATGGATTTTGCTTAAAAGGTGATTTAATTGAGCAGAGCGGAAATCCTGCTATCATGTCCTCTTCATTATAGAGCAGACTTCTTTTTAACCTGTAGATTTGCTGTTTACGAATTTTTATTTCCCCATCCTCTGTGTTTTTAAATATTTCTTGTTCTTTATAATTAGTGTTTTACATATATTGAGAGCAATTTGGAGAAGTGTCTGCCTGGACTTAACACAATCTGTCTTTTAAATGGAAAAAAAAATATTTTTTATTTTTTTTAATGAAGAGGACAAGTCCCTCAAATACACAATTAGGTTAATAGCTTCTGTCTGTGCATCCTGCCAGTCTTTGCCAACTGAAACATCATTTAAATTTTTCACTTTGAAATTTATGTTCTTCGGGCATTCTCCTGTGAGATTATTCTTCTTTCTTCTCCCTGCAATTTTCCTATGGAATTTTTTTAAAATAGAAGAATTTTAGATAGGTCTGTGATTTCAAAGTCAGCATACTTGATAGTTGGGGATGCTCCCCTCTCTGCCCCCACATAGTGGTAGCTGTCATCACTGTAATTTCTGTAGATGAGGGAGGTGAGTGTTTCCAGTGTCAGACGCTAATTACAGCTGGTTCTTCCTCCTGCAGCCTGGAGGGACTGAGCTGCTGTAGTCTTGAGGATCTCCACAAAGAGAGACAAGCCAAAAAATAATTGTGTTTCCAAGAAGTTTGAAGATCAGCATTTTAGGTCTTTAGTTTGGGGCTGGAGGTGCGCAATTTCAGGTGCACTGAAACATCTTGCAGCAGTATTCTTTCAAGTTAAAACTACTGAAAACTGGTAGATTTGAGCATGATTTTTTTAACTACAGAAAAGAAAAATAGCCTTAATTCCAAAATATGTATATTTCTGCTGTTTAGCGATCATCTTGACTTTCTATTTGGTATAACTTTCTAGTTTACAAGAATGAAGAATGGCTGTATGAATGACGCTACATGCCTTGCTATTGGCAACATACTTAGCCATCTGAGTTACCTTGCTTTTTTTGACAGAAGTCTTAGATGTTTTACAGTTTCTACTAATGGATACTGCACTTTACCTTGTGCAGTGATACCATTTCTTCTTCTCAAATTATTACAGACCAGTCTTGCCCAAGTTCTTTCCTTGGGTCTTTGTGCATTATTTTAACATCTGCAAAATTATTCTTTCTAAGACACTGTCTTAATAAAGACCCAGTAAGTGAGGTGGAAGTCTACCTGTCCAGCTAAGTCTGATTTTTAGATTTGGTGACTGCCTGCAACTCTTTGTGGAAGCTGTAGATGGTAAGCAGAAAAAGTGACACTCACTAACAGACTGATTCATGAAGCTCTCAGCAAACGCAGCTTGTTTAGGTGTTGTGTTCCATTGTTTTTTTTTAACTGTGTAGGCATATTAATTAGGATTAATTAATTATTAAAGAAAATGCCAAACCCCACAGCAGTTGCATGAGACAGGCAGTTGCATGTCCCAGAACCTCTCTGCTATTGCATTGATAGCCTCATGTGTTTGTATTTACAACTGCATGCATGCCTTGAGTTTAGCTGCTCCAGAAACCTCTACTCCTATTTATCCTTCTTGTGCTACTCTGTATTATGTTTTTAACCATTCTTTCAGAAATATATTTGAAAAAATGAGTATTTTCAGGTGCATGAGCTTTGAATAAAATAAAGAATAATGGCGAAAAGCAACACATTTCTACTTAGTAATTATATTTGCTACCTCAAGGTCCAAAATACTTAGTTAGCATATATTGAAGAATTGCAGTAATTTAGACTGCAAAGGAACAAGAATGTGGCCGTATTCTAAACAACATATATTTTATGTTCTTTTGAGGAGGCAAGGAGAAGGTATTCTTGAGCTTTGGTTTATTCTTTACTATTTTTTTTATCTTTGTGTTCCTCTTTTTTGCTTAGTTCTGTTACTGCAGTTGTCTTCTGAACTTTGTAGTGTATCTTTTTAAAATTGCAGCTGCTGTATATGGTAGTATAGAAAAAACAGTTAAAGTTACTAACACACTTTGAATTTGTGAATGACACCGAACAAGCAGTGATGTTCTGAAAATACATTTAGCATTTTGAGGCGGTTGTTTTACTGGCCTTTCCCTTTATCATGGTAATGTTTACCATATTATAAAAAGTCACATTAGATGTGGGTGTTTCCGGGTGGTTTGAACTTGTGGTAGTTTGACATCCTGCCAGGATTACACAATCCTGAGGAATACTGTATATAGGGAGATGTGTCTATGTATTAGTATACTGGTAGCCTATGTCTGGGACAGCTCAATTTTATTTATATATATATATATATGTTTTCTGTATTATCTTACAGATTGAGTGATTCTTTAGTCAGAAATAGGCAGCAACTTTGCAGTTAGCTGCTTCTTGTTACAAGATCTGGGATTATAGGGGAAGTCTAGCAATAAGGCATGCATATGTATATTGTTCCTCTAAGGTGGTGATAACACTCTAGTAACATCACCGTTTTAAACTTGAGTTTCCTTTTAGGTAGCCTGTATTCCAAGGCTAGCTGAACAAATGTTAGGAATAGTGCACCATTGTAGGGAGGGGGCTATTTGCGAAGGCTTGTATTGTTCCAAATTTGAGAGGCTTAAAAACCTGGCTTTAAACAGAAATTCATCTTTAACTTAAATACAGATACGCTCTTGCTTCACCAAAATATACAGGCTTGCTTGTGGATACTTTGAGGTTTTTTTGGTTGTTGTTAAATTATTCATTGCAATGAATATCCTCTTCCTCTCTCCCCTTTTCTTTGACTCATAAGGGAAATGTGAAGGGAAGTTGTCTTGATTTGATTACTAATTTAAATACTATTGTTAATAATCCTTACTATAGCAGATGTGTGCAGCATGTAACTGTTTGCCAAAAATAAATCTATTTTGGAAATTATTCTAAGAGTTTGAAGCTCAGTTGCCTTTTTTTAGGGATCATGCACTTTATCATTAGGTTAGAATTCTAATTTTGTATTCATTTTTATGCAAGCAGATGTTAACTTTTAATTTTGCTGCTGTCTCCAATCACAGGAAGAAGGCATGGTTGAGATAAATTATTTTCCGCCTGAAGGCTTGATTGATTTAATGTACTTCCCATACTATGGGAAAAGCTTGCATGTGAGTATGCCTTAATGATGGTCTTCATTTTGTAAATATTTTGTTTCTGTTTACATTTACAATTACTAATATCAGATTGATTCTGGAGTTTGAACTTTGTAATGAAGCACTCGTAAGGAATATTACATATGCAGAAATTTCACAGTGCCTGGTGAGATTAAAGATATGCTTTAGCAGACTAAGGAGATAAACTGGGCATTGTCCTAATGGAATAAGAGGCTGTATACTAGCAGAATTAAGGGCATCTACTGCTTTTTGGTTACTGATGTCTTTTGGAATCTTTTTGAATGCAGGGAAAGGCAGGAAAAGTAAATTGGTTCTTTGAATTACAGTAGTTTCTAATAGTAATCCTTGGGGTTTATGTATAAGATATTAAGTTTATAAGTCATTATGGTATTGTTGATTATATTTCTTTGTGACTCTGCGGTCATGTTTTCTATTTGCTCTGTTTTATGAAGAAGCATTTCAAGGTAACAGATAGTTTGCTTTTGCCTTTTTTTTTTTAGTATTATTTTATTTTTAAAACTTTCTTATCTTTGCTTTTCTTTGCTTGCTCCATCTATCCTTATTGTATTCTGACAGAAATTTTATTTATCTAATTGAAGAACACTTGTTTTAAAAAACCCCCAGAGCTCACTACTTTATGAACACAGAATACGTAGAGTTAGAACTCCAATTTATTTTCAATCTTGAATTTAGTGGGTTTTTTCTTCTCTTGCATCAACCTGTGATAACTACATACAGAAAATTTGTACATTATATCACATATAAAATTATTTTGCCTGTTACTGACCAAGTCACTGTTCACCACTGAAGATAAAAGTACTTTTTAAACATAAATCTATTATATCCATAATATACCACATTGGTTGTTTGTAATTTCCTCAAGGTGATTTTTGTACTAAATTATTCCTTTATCAGTTATTTTTGCAGTGTAGTCTGTACTTACCTGCAGCAGTTCACATAACCTTTTTTATCCTCATGTGGCTTTTACTAATGAGGAAGGAGTTTGGTTTTTCTTCAACATTTGCTTTCATATTACTTATGGGTGGTTCTGTGTTTTCCATTTTGTTGACAGACTTTCTGAGTTGGTTAAACCATCCATTTTCTTAGACGTACTAGATTAGAGAAAGACTGTCCACCTGTGCTTCCAACAGGCAGGGTCAGTATGTACTCTATCCCATTCTTGGAATGAAAGAATAGGTAAGGAGAGCACTGCTCCTAAGAAATGCAAAATACAGCATCAATAGACCTTGAGGTGTTAGGAGGAGTTTGTATCAAAGACAGGATGAAGAACTTTCATGACAAAACTCCTATCTTGCTGCTATACAGATGGAAAAGGAAAGATTGAGAGTAATGAAGCCAAGCAAAACTCGGTGCTATTCGTTGCTTGACTTGGGTAGTTAAGAAAAAGCTTTACTCTTCCCTCTGCCCCCCTCTCCAGTTTTTGGTTCAATGTCCTTTCATGTTCACTTTGTCATGTGGGATAGGGACTATGGTTTGAGGGATCTTTTCTTATGTGAGGCTCAATTCTTATAACAGTAGTTATTGTGACAAAGAAGAGGCAGTAAGAAGAGTTGAGAGGTTGAGGTGTTTGACTAGGTCTCAAGAGAATGGATTGATTTCTTGGCTATACAACTGAATTTTTACATTATATCAGCATGGAATTGTTGAGATACTTTATTATGTAAAGGAGTGAAGAGGATTCAACTAATCTTGCTGCTCTTGTGCTAAGGTAGGAGCCGTGGAAGTACTAATACCTACAGTTTTGTGGTCCAGAGTAGTTACTTGCCTTTTGCTGCTTAGCACGATGAGCCCAACTCCCAGACCTTAGGGAATGTTACCTTTTTTAGGTGATCTGTAGTGCTTAATGAGGATGCTGATTCTCTTACCTCCTCCCCCAAATTTTATATTGAGTAAAAGTCCATTCTGGTATCATCTGCCTTCAAAACATCATAGAAATTTCTGTACCTATTTGAAAAACCTTGGCAATGAGGAGACTTCTCTAAGGAAACACAGGAATTTTATTTCTGATTTTTAGAAAACTCAGTTAATTCTTCAAGTACGGTATCACCCTTACAGCCAGAGAATTTTGAGGGTGCCTTGCCTAGCTGCATTTCCCCCTCCCAGTTTGAAGTTTATAGGAGCACAGGAAAATTTCTGATCTAGTAAAATCGCTATCCAAAGAAAGCAGTTACTTCAATCTACTTCTTACTGGTACTTCACATTAAAGGCTTTAGCACATCAACTTCCATGGCATCATTCTTGGTAAATAAGACTTTGAGTATTCTCTAGTGCTTTCTTTGGTAGAGGAGTAGAGAAGATAGCCTAAAAAGAACAGAAATGTATTAAGGAGTCTCTTAAGTTAATGAGGGGAAAAAAAACCACTAACACAAAATTTTGTTCAATTAAAATTTAAGGCTTATACGTGTATAATACTGTAGTGTCATATTTAGTCCACTGGCTTATATGAATTTTTACCAAGAAAGTAAATAATTTTGCTTAATCAGCAGTCATCAGTATTTACCTAAGAAATATAAATAAATTATGGAAATACTTTGAGTATTGGATGAAATGCTGCTTTAACAGTGTGTAATAAATAAGCTCTTATTTAATTCATAGGCACTTTACAAGAGAATTCAAGTTGTCCTAATTGAATTAGACTTGAGAAATAATATTGGATTGACAAAAAAGCGCCAAATCCTGCATTCATTCTTAAAATTTAATTTTTATTAGAGGGAATGGAGTCAAGAATCGTAATTGTTCCGCCAAATATGATTGACCAGGGCACTGTCAGAAAGAATATTCAAGAAAAGGTTTCTGTGTAAAGCTATCAAACAGATAACACATTTTAGAATGGATTGTTGCTGAACAAGTAAATGGGATAGGGTGGAAGGGAAGCTAGTTTACTGGTATTTGTTGAATCATGCTTTTGGCAAAAAAACACATAAAACCGTGCTAGAAAAGTTACGTTCTATAGCAGATTTTTTTTTTAAAAAAAAAAAAAAAAAAAGGCAAAACAAACAGAAGAGACAATGGAATGGAGAGGAAGGAAGGCTATCATTTCAGAGGCTGTTTCAAGTAGAGGTTGCTAGGAAAATTGGACCCAATATAATAGAAAGGGGTAAAGTCATATGCCTGTTTAAGATACTGTCTGTGACTTAAATAATGTTGAATGTCTTAGTTAAGAAATAGTATGAAGAATGTATGCCTGACTATCTAACTTGGAAAAAAGAGTCTTACCTGAGTCAGATTGGGCTTTGGAAAGTTGGGTTAATTAGCTTTTTTTAACTGTTTGATGGATTAAATGTTAATTTAAATGCTAACTTACTCTGATATCTCAAATATTTTCCTCGTCTTTCTGTTTACTAGGCTCACTATTTACAGCCTCTAGTGGCTGTTCAACTAGCAATTAACTCCAACAGTACCAAAGAAGAAATAGCAATTGAGTGTAAGATCCTGGGCTCACCTAATTTAAAAAATGAAGATGACCGTGACAAGTTTCTGGGACGAATTGCCTTCAAAGTTCAGATGACTGAATAGCTGGAGTAAAAAATTCTCCACAAAGTAAACATTGTGTTGTCTGTTTTGTAATTAGCTGGACATGCCATTCTAGGATATGAGACCACCTTGGAGAATGTTAAGGTGGTTTATGGCATTCAGGGTAGCATAATAATATGCTTCCAAATTGTATGTTTAAAATCCCTCAAAATAAATGCCTATCCTGCTTCTGCCTGCCCCATTGGAACAGTGTACAGACTATAGTTATGTTATAGGGACCTGTAAATAGCTGTTTTCAAACACATAATAATGGTGACCTTTGTCCTGTTCTAAAATGTGGGTTTATTGCCCCAATTGAGTGTCTCAAGCTTCATGTGCTGTGCTATGTAAATATTGTACTGATTTAACACTGGTTTAACTGTCATATCTCAATGCTGACACAGTTATAGGGATAAATAATAAATGGTACCTGATTGACATAGTGATTTTTTTTGTAAGAGCAAACACCTCCAATGTAAATTGTGTGTATGGGAGTGGGTGGATGGCTGGCTGTGTAGAGATGCCTTAAATTGTAGACTGTGTGGCGTGGGAGAATTGAAATGGATTTTAAAAGTTGGTATGGATTTCTGAAAGTAAGTGCTCAACTTGTACTCTCTTGTGCTTGTCACTGTGCAAGTATTGTGTACATGTAATACTTGGTATAGAGTTTGGTATTCTAGCTGAGGAATTGAATCTGTCTTCGTGTTGTTAATTGCTTGCGATATGTGGAGCACAAATAAAATCTATACAATATTTTAAAAATTTTTAGTTCAGAAATATCAATATACAACAATTTAAATTGTTTAGAATCCTGCTAACAGTTGTACAACAGAGCTGCTTGAAAGAAATGGCCTCACTATTGTGGGAATAGGCTTTCATTTTCCAATTAAAAAATCTGAAGAACCTCTGTTTAAAAAGAAAGAAAGAAAAAAAAAAAAAAAGAAAAAAAGGATTGTCTTGATTAAACATTCCTGTTTAATTTATATACTGTTGTTTTGTTGCATCATTTTAACATGCTTTATGTCTTTGTCTGCTCTTTCATCATGTTTTCTGTGTATTTCCTCATCATCCATTTAGAAAATCGGTGTCATCAACTGCTTTATAGAAATATCCTATTGACTTGGAGTGGATTACTTGCAGTTTAAGTTAAATATTTTTATTAATCCAGTTGCTAAAATTACTACAAATAGACTGGTTTATTTGTGACTGTACCTCACATTAAACCAAGTTGACCCATTGGTTATAACTTCCGCAGTTGTGCTGACATGGGATTTATATTACTCTTCCCCAGGGTTTTTGTTTGTTCTGGTCTTGGGTTTTTTTGAGTACATGGTCCACATTCTGGTGTCTTCTCAATATTAAAGACCACAGCAAATCAGCATTTGTGTAAATACCCATATGTTCTGCTAGTTAGGCGTAAATTTGTTACTTAATGTGCTTTTATGCCCAATTCTTATAGTGGTTTTTAATATTTTATTTAAACAAATTAGATTAATGATTACTAAAATTCAAGATCCAGTCTTAATGCCCTGCTTTGAAAATGTTTGAGGCCAGTCTAAGCAATATCAGTGCAAAACTTTTTTACAACCTGTGGAAGCTTACACTGGTGCACAGTTGGAGGCAGCTGCTCTTAATGGGACTTGAACAGTGTCTTGAACTTCATGAAAAATAGATTTATAGTGATCTGATACCATTCAGCATGCTTTTTTGTTGTCTACAAAAGAAAAATTGTTGTTCCTACAATATGCAATGGGTACTTTTGTAATAATAGCATGCATTAATACTGAATAAGAATGTTCTTTCAAAATATTCCATTACTAACGTTTTAAATCATGCACTTTTAGAGCTGGGATACCTGGGCTCCTGAAGATACGACTAGTTGCTTCTCTGTATATTAATACTGCTTGAAAATATTTTAATAGTCGTGAGGGAACTTAAAAGTGTAGATGTTGCATCTGGAAATGAAAAGGACTACCTTAATGTAAAAAAAATTTGACATTTGTGTTCACTTAGGAATGGTAAGAAGTTCTGGAGAAACACTCAGTTTTCAAATGAGCTGATTTTTGCAACAATTTCTCTTTCGACTTACCTATATAGACAAAGCATGAAATGGCAACTCTTCACCAGCACTTTTCAGACAGGTAGAACTCAATAAACTCCTGTTCTCCCTAGATATTGTAGAAGTGTTGTTTTTTGGTTTTTTTTTTAACTTTAATGACATAAGGGTGATCATTTGGGGGAGGGGGAGAAGAAAAAAACTTTTGAAACTGTTCAGCTATCAAAATTATCATGTAAAATGTACATAGGTAATGAGTCTAGTCTTAAACTATTTAATTAAATTGACCTATTTCCTGATTTTTCTTTCTGTGTCTTAAGAATTTGAGCATTATTTATAAACAGGTGTATTGACTATTAGTACATGATAAAATTACTGATTTTCTTCACATGAAATTTACAGTAAAGGTTCCTTGGACTTAATTTTAAATTATGATTAAAGATTTAAATTTACTACCTTGTTGCCAGAAACCTGAAATGTTTAACTTTTATTTATACTGGTAAATACCTATTTGTCTTATTGGGTAACTTTTAGTGCCTTCAGGTCTGGAACAAGGACTTTTGAATGCTGTGAAGTTGTCGGTTGTTGCAGGTGCTGTTTCATACCACCATGAAAACCTACTTATGCCCAATTCAGTTGAGGTACTTTCTTCTCTTTGCCATACCCACTCTCAATCCCTCTGCCACCGCACACATGAACATACATACGCAGGGTTAAAGGGGAAGCTGAAGATTGTTAAGAGACAAAATTAGCTGAAGGTTTTATTTACATTCATCATGCAGTAGATAAGATGATCCCTTGAGGACAGATGCCATTCAGCACTGCAGTTATTTCCTGCTGGGGATGGTGCTGCTTCTGGGCCAGTAGTAATGAAAGCAGCCTTTCCTTTTGTACTGAAATGTCATCTTTAGTAGTTCCCAAGCAGTAGAGAGAAAAAGAACAAATTTGGATGCAAATGAAGGAAGAGCTGTAGACTAAAGGAGTTGTAAATTGGTATAAGAGACAAAGACAAGAGTTGGGGGATGTTGGGTTTTGGTTTTTTAATTCCCTGCGCCCTTTCCCTCTCTCAGTAGGAGGTCTGGAAAGGAAAAGTATGTCCAAGTTGCTAGGCCACTTTCCATCATACTTGAGAAGTCATGGCAGTTTGGTGAAGTGCTCACTGACTGGAAAAGGGGAAACATCACCCCCATTTTCAAAAACGGAAAAAAGGAAGACCTAGGCAACTACAGGCCAGTCAGTCTTACCTCTGTGCCTCGCAAGATCATGGAGCAGATCCTCCTGGAGGCTCTGCTATGGCACATGGAAAATGTGGAGGTGATTGGTTTGTGGATGTGGACATGGCTTCACCAAGGGAAAA